GGAAGTGGCGCTCTGGCTCAAGTGGTAGAGTGCTAGCCTTGAGCTGAAGAGCTGAAAGATAGCGCCCAGGCCCAGACCGGCAAAAAAAAAAAAAAAAATGGTGAGCTGGGAATGTGGCTTAGTAGTTGAGTCCGTGCTTGAAGCCCTGGGTTCAATTCCTCAGTACCACATAAATACAAAGCCAGAAGTGTCTGAACAGACAGGTCTGGTCTTCAGGCTATGAGTCTACCTTTTTTTCACCAAGAAAACATAAACTAGAAGAGTATACATAAAGCTACTGTTTAAAAGATCTAGAACACCAAGATATGGAAACAAGATCTCTCCCCCTTCCCCCATGTGTTAATGACTTTGTCTTTTTTTTTTTTTTTTGGTGGGTCATGGGGCTTGAACTTTGGGTCTTGGCGCTGTCACTCAGCAATTCAGCTCAAGGCTAGCGCTCTACCACTTGAGCCACAGGGCCACTTCCAGTGTTCTGGTGGTTTATTGGAGATGAGAGTTTCATAGACTTTCCTGCCCAGGCTGGCTTTGAACCACAATTCTCAGATCTCAGTCTCTTGAATTAGCTAGGATTACAGGCATGAGCCACGGGCACCCTGCTGCACATCTGCTTTTAAATGACGCAAAAGAATGTGAACTGCCTTCTGAAAAATTATTAAAACATTAAACAAAATTAAATAGCCTTGATCACCTACAACTCTTGTATTTTTGTTTCATTTGTACCCTTTTTGTTTGTTTCAAACAAAGCCAGACCCAGCAGGAAACTCCATGAGACCCTTATCTTTAGCCAGCAAAAAAGCCAGAAGTGAGGTCAGGTATTAGTGACTCAGGCCTATATCCTAGCTACTCAGGAGGCTGATGATACCTGAGGACCCTGGTTCAATGCTAGCCAGGGAAGAAATAAAAATCGGTGAGACTCATCTCCAATTAACTACCAACAAGCCAGAAGTAGACCTGTCTCTCAAAGTAGTAGAGCACTAGCCTTGAGGAAAAACAAAAACAAAAACACTCAAAAAGAGGGTGCTTTGTGGCTTATACTTGTAATCCTAGCAACTCAAGAGGATGAGATGTAAAAAGTGTGGT